GACACTGGCAGCCACAGGCAGGAGCACAGCCTGCACAAACCACCAGGCAGCAGGTTTGGAGCAGTACCACCTCTCCACTCTATCCAAAGCCAGTGTGTTTTATTAACTGACCGTGCCCAGTGCACCAACCCTCACTGCCCACAATCTGCCCACTGGCAGGTCTCCTGCAAATACAGCGTAATTCATCTACTAGGTAATGTTTGGATTTATTTTTTTTAAAGCTAAGTAAGGACTGCTGAAAGGTCTCAAAGACCTGGTCTCAGCAGCAAATAAATATATGGCAAGGCTGCTCAGTGTGCGCGCACCACTTCGCTATGCTCCTACCTCCCACCCAGTAAAGCTCATGGGGCAGTGGGCTTAGGAGTCATTAATGACACCTCAGAACTACTGGAAAAAGAGAGCTCAAAGAAATCCTTTATGCTGAGACACACAGTCTCCTTAAGACACAAAACTAACCCTTCCTTCAAGTGTGCCTCTGCATATTATTTATGCAGATTAATTTATTCCTCGCCATTTATTTAGCAAAGCAAATGCAAAATCTGGAGAGCCAATCCTTCTGTTGCCACTGCTTTTGTATTTGTGACTTTTAAAAATTTCGTAACAAGCAATTAAATACATGCACAATGGCAAGTATTCTACTTAACAGGATGAGCTGGTTTTAAACTGGAGGCAGCTATTCCATTTTTCTGTTACTAAACACAGACTTCCAAGGTAACTGTAATTAAGAGCAGCAGCCTGGACACCAACCTCTCCCACAGGAGAGAGACACAAATGACACCAGACTTTTTCCCCCTAAACCAGCAATTATCCCATATTTCAAAAAGCATGTGGTTGCTCAATCTTTAAAAGTTAGAATATTTTACCCAACTGGCCTGTCCATGGCCACAGCCGGTTCCTGTTCATAGATGGCGCAATGGGTGCCTTGGGGTTTGCTCACATTGGGTTTGCTGTATTCATCTTCAAAACAATTTGCATGGAAACCATTTTTCACTCGATTCCACACCATCCCTTATTTATTAAAGCAGTTTTTCAAGGGAAATGCCTCCAGCTGTCATGCTGCTGCATATTGTATGTCCTGCTCTCCTGCAGCGCACCAAAATGTTTTTTCGCAGTGTTTATTTAAAAAAGTAAAAGAACAGAGCAGCAACCCAGTTCAGACTTCTCCAAAATGATACATGCCCATTGTGTAATATTTGCACATTTGAATTTAAGAACACTTTAGGTGTGTGGAATTAAAGACTAGTTGTCATTTTTGCCTTTACCATTGAAAAACCAGTCAGAAGTGAGTTACTAACCCACAAAGAATTCTAATGTAGGTGAAGCTGACATAGCAATGTTGTATTTTCAATTACTGATGCGCTGAGTATGCTGTTTAGTAAGATTTCTGAAACAGTTAAATACAGAGATCGTATGCTCTTTTTATTGGCATACAGTCACTACCCATATAAGTGCATTTGTGTCAAAAAAATAATTCTCATATTTACAGGAAGTGACAGAATTCCAGTTGTTGGCAGGGTATATAAAGCTTTTCATACACAATCTTTTTTATTATTAGACAGAGAATATAAAATTTGAACTGAAAATCAAATTCAATGCATCATGGAAACTGTATTCCTCAATAGCTTTTCTTAAACTTAATTCCTTCTCTCTAGAGCCATCCTTCTGAGACCTCTGTTATGCTACCTACGTCTCAAAAAAGTCTCCCTTTTACCAAAAGCAAATCATGTACTGAGACTGGATTAAAACATCATTATTTATATCTGCACCAACACAAGTAAAATTTGTGTGTTGCAAATTATGCCTTATTTTGCTAACAGGTATGTGTGCATATGCTATGTGAAAGGACTTATCTGGGTGGGGGAGGTATGTTATTTATAACCAGTTAACTTATTATCTGTAACAGTGTTTTGATAAACATGCATCATGAATTCACCAGCCATTAGCTTGCTTAATAAACATGTAGTTAAAAATGTGATTCTTTGCACTGAAGCAGTTTACTTCTAACTTATGAAAAAATTACACTGGCAAAAATGCTGCATAGCTGAATTCTAGTTTTAGTTAAATGGATTAATCTGCTCGTGAAGACATGCTCTGCAAGTTGCCCAAACTGCTAGTTTTTTTTCTCAGAAGATACAGCCATCAAAGGGATCTTACTTTGATGTTACGCCTTTTGTCTTTTTCACAGTTGGTATCATAACCAGGCCTTCTAGCACAGATCTCCCATCTTCTCCTGCATTAATGTTCTTCGTTAACAGTCACTGGCCTAGAGTTATGTAGTAGGTTGTTTTTTTTTTCTTAACTAGTATTATTTCACACTCCTGTTACTAAGAGCAGCAGTTAATTTCCTGAAGAAGGAGGTAAAAAATCAGTGACCTTTTTCTCTTTATGGTGATATTAAAACCAAAAATTTAGTTACGTTGCTGTCTCATCACTGTATTAGGTTTTACAGGAATCACAATTCTTGTAACACGAACAAAAATAAGCAGCTTTAGTGCTTACTACACATTTAATGCATGTGCCAAAATGTAAAGTTAACCTACTGTCAGTTTTCTACTGTGTACTGAGTGCCATTTATAAATATATTCCATAAAAACATCTAAAATAGAGTCTTGTTCCTGTAATATCCCTGGACATTCAGAAAGTCCTCTCTGAAAACTGAGTGAGGAATATAGTTCCAGAGCTTAACACTTGTCACACAAGATCAGTTATTTGCACATACTCCTAGTGGGGTTCAGTCTGTTTCAGTATAGCTTGTATTACAGTGACCCATATTTTACACACACAGCATATATTACTTGCTAGTCCAAATAAAAAGGTTATTAAAAATCTATTACACAGATCTAAAGAAAAAATAAGATGTCTTTGCTTTGTTCTTCCACGCACCCCCAATAGATTAATCTCATCGTGTCCATGGATTACATATTCTGGCAAGTGGTTTACGTTAAAATCTTTTTCAAGTACTTTAAAAATTGTTATACAAAAGAAGCTGCCTTTTTGTTTTTCTTCCTTAAAAAAAAAAAAAAAAAAAAAAAGGTACTTTCTACAATTTAACACAAAATTCAGGTGCAAGAATTTTAAACAAAAAAATGAACTAAAGAGCTTTATTGACATCACAGTACATTCAATAGTAATTTTAAGAACATTACAGCTGAAAGAGAATGGCCTGGTTTATATTCTTAATAAGCACTACCGTTCTTGGGGGGGGGGGGAAAAGTAATACAAAGAAATCCTATTAGGTATTTAATTCTGAGCAGCATTTGGAAAAAATACACCTATTTACAGATAAAAAAAGGATTCTGGTTTCACCTACATAGCCACAATGTGCCTCTATAATGAGACAAGCCTTTATAACTCATGGAATTTTTAAATGTCATAGCACTGGTGCCATAAATTCCTCAGCGTTTACGACGAAGAGGAGTCGTTGATCTGAAAAATAGAAGGAAAACGGGGGAAAAGTTAATTGGAAAAAATAAAAGACCCCCAAACCCACACACACTTTAGGCTTTAGTAATTAATAGTTTTAAAAGATTTTTCCAAAGTTACTTTTGCCTAAGACAAAAAAATTAATAAATACCATACTTTATTAAAAAAGTTCATATGCCGTACGCATGAAGACGAATATCAAAAAATAAAAGTAAAAAGTCAGACAAAATACTTAAAAAGTATACTACCTTGATCGTGACTTAGACTTGTGTTTGCGGCTTGCCTTCTTACCAGACCTTTGAGATTTCTCCATGGAACATGACCGAATATGCTTCGATTTCTTAGCCTTCTTTTCTTTGCTGCTTCCTGGCGATTCAGAACTACTCCTCGCACTAGATTCGGAGCCTGACCGTTTTTTGCTATCTTTGGTAGTAATTTTTTTGCATTCTTGCCTGGAATCCTGTCTTATTATTTTCACACATATGGAATCACCGCGAGAGAAAGTTCTTTCGCTGTCCCTTTTTCTCTTTAATCTACTGTCGTCATGATTGCCAGCCTTACTTTCTTTGTCCTCTTTTTTGGACCTGTCTTTCCTTTTTTCCTGATCTTTCTCCCTTTCCCTGTTCTTTTTTCTGTCCTTATCTACAGCTCCGCCCTGCTCCTTCTTCCTTTCTTGGTCTTTACCCTCACTTTTATGTTTGTGCCTATTTCCAGGAGGGCTTCTACGCTGGTCTTCAGCTTTACGTCTATCCCTGCTTCTGCTGCGGCTCGCACGGTTAGCTCGCCTGTCTCTGGAACGGCTACTACGTCTGTCCCAGCTTCTCTCTCTCGAAGGACTCCGATTTCTTCGCCTCTCCCCTCTTTCAGCACTGTGATTTCTACTAGATCTTCTCCTTTCCCTTATTTTCTCCCTGCTCCTACTTCTCTCTCTCCTATTTCTGTGGGAGTAACTCCTGCTTCTGCTGCGCCTAACTTTATGTGAAGGTGTTCTACTGCGACTGTGCCTCTTCTTCCTTTTAGGAGAGGAAGAACGTGAAGAGCTGCGACTACTACCTGAGCTACTGCTATAGGATGAACTAGATACAGTGCTGCTGCTGCTACTGCTTCTGCTATTGCTGCTACTGCTACCACTGCTAGAGCTTCCTGACCCACTCCTTCCTGTTCTCTCTTTACCCTCTTTTTTAAGCTCTGTATCAGGTGCAATTGCATTTGGAGATCTTTTCTTTTCATGAACCGCATCTGCTTCAATTTCTTTTGCCTCCTGTGATGCTGAGTTACTGTTTTGTTCTTTGTTGATAAATTCATTCATCTCTTTTGAAACTTTTTCACTTTGTAGCTTTTCATCTGGGGAAATAAAAAAAAAAAGTATGCAAACGAAAAATGCAATTAATTTGGAGTAAGATGACAATAATTTCCATACCACTACTTTTGGCAAAACCAAATTTTCAAACATCTTTCATAATACTTATAAATACATTATCTGCCCTCATGCCAACTACCTACCAAAAAGACTTGTTTTCTTCTTTTATAATTCTAGAAGGGTTGTAGTCATGGTTTAGAAAAAGTGCACAACCTACTTTTAGAAGTCCTTGATGTTACTTCACATTTCAGTGGCTGACAATGAAGTTCTTAAACAAGTATCCTGGAGCACCAGAACTCCCATACTCATCTACACAAACATACTTTTTCCTCCTGCAACCTTCTAATTCTCCCCTTCTCCTTCCTGCAACACTCCTCTAGCAATACCTATTTTTCCTGCCTTCCTTCCAGCCCCATTTATCTGGGTTCAAGTAATCACTGGCTGGTCTGAAGAAGCTGCATGTCCCACAGAGTGCACTGGCAGGCTCTTCACCTCAGAACAACACTGGCTGTACCCATATGTTCCGTAGGACCCCAAAAAGCCTTAGAGGACTACCTTGTGCTGTAGTGACACATCTGGTTTTTCAAAGAAAAAAAAACAAAAAAACCCACCCCACTGGGTTTAGAGCATATTCCAAGGATAACTCAGATTAGTCCTAAATGCTAACTAGTACCAGCAATTCAAACTTCTCCTTGTTTTTAGCAGGTTTTATAGCCAATGAATTCTAAGGGAGGGAAAAACAGCATAAAAGAGAGACATGTAGATAACTCTTTACGACTTAGCTCAGAAGTTAAGACCACAGTATTTAATGCAGATAGATGGTGAAGCTCTTACAAAACAAAAAATTAGTCAGTTTGGATTATATGTAAACTTGGTAGTCAGCAAAACACGGTAAGAAGACAACAGAAGAATTAAAAACATATTTCTTGATATAAGGTAACAAGTATCAGGCCAAGATCTTCATAGAGCAAAAGAAAGAAATTCAGACCCTCAGAGCATTTTCCAGACATTTCCAACTTTTGTAGTTTTACTTATTTCTATTCAACCTAGGATAATTTGCATCACTGGCCAGGGTTTATCTCCCCTGCCCATTTTAAATTGAACTCAGAAAAAATAACTGACATACATTCTTAGCCAAAATAAAAAAAAAAAACAAAAAAAACCAAAAACCAACCCAGCCTTTTGATGTGGTTCATTAGTTCCTGAATTAATTTAGGGAATAAAACTGCATCCAGAAACCTGGCGTGATCCTAGTGGCAACTGATAGTCAAATCTAACCCACAAAAAAAAATTCCACCTGGTTGCAGAGTTATTAGGTGATAACAAGCAGAAGCCAGACTATGTTAGAAGATGCTGTATTGTATAGCAGAAATCTTCTGCATTTCCTAAGCACCACTACAAGAGACCCTAAATTTACTATTCTTTGGTATTCTGAATGTATAGAATCAGCTTTTTTACTCCAGAGTTATATTTCTGTAAACAACCCCATGGAAATTTCCCCAAACTGACATCTGGCTTCTTGCCCTAGAAGGCAGTGGTCATACGCCACCAGTCAGTCACTCTCCCTAAAAAGCTATCCTTTTATGCATACATCTTGAAAAAGCTGAGAGACAGGAATATTAAGGAACCCAAAAGCTTAGCTAGTTCAGCCTTTTATTAAGAGATCCATAATGTCTTATTTCTAGGCCTTTAAAACAAAAAGTAAAAGGAAGAAATCATCCATCTTAAAATAAAAGTATGCTATTCTAATAGCACTTTATTTCTTCTGCAGCTTATGAACTTAGCTCATGACTTCTGCCCATTGTATTTTTGTGTTGATCTACGCTGCTCTTCAGCAGTGCAAGGTGACTGTGATTCCCTTTTGACCTACATTATTGGTACAAAAGGACAAACCTTACCTTGCATGGAGAAGCAGAATTAAATCGGAGGTTTAGTTTTGTTTTGTATTTTAAAATCACACCTGCTGCCTTACCAGAGGCTAAGTGTGCACTGACTGGGTTCAGTTATCTTTCCTCACTATTAAGTATAAACCCCCCAGTTATGAAGATGCAACATATGGAAACAAGCCTCAGCTACAACTGAGAACAGCAAGTTTGAAGAAGCTGCAGCCTAGCACTGTACATGCTGAAATGAGCACTGCTCAACATTATGTAACAGAAAAGCATGTTTTTCAGATGCAAAATATGCTTCATATACTTAGGAGTATATACACCTTTAAGGAATCAAGTTTATACAAACTGCAGTCGGTGCAGAAAGGTGAAATTTATCCCCCAGACACAACTGAGACACTAATAATTTTGAAAAAAATACATTATACACACACATTAATTTTTCTCTATATATATATTT